TATTCTATCATATCTTACCAGAAGTTTGTTCAAGAAGATGGAAACAGAAATTTCAAAGTTATAAATATCCATATTTTACCATGTGACAAATCAAATTTAACAAAATGCGAAGTAACCTATAGTTGTAATTATGACGTTTTCTTCATGTCTCATTAATTTGCATCTCTTTCTTTAGACAAGTAATTGCAAAAGCACGAGATAGATACGACATATACCTATTATAAACTTACGTCAACGAAAAAAATCACTAAGACACACATTTCAACAACAGAAGTGTCTTCAAAATTTTCATCCATGTCGACCAAAACTATTTTTACTCTTCTTACATTACCGATCGAAATAGTCTACCGAATTCTTGATCAACTTGATGATTTCGATATTTTATGCTCCACGCAAAACATCTGTGCGCGTATGAATGCAATTGTCGACAGCTACTATCGATACCAGGTAAAATACTATTATATCTGAAAATTTGACTTTCATCATCTTCAATACCTGATTCATTTATCTAGATTATCAATCTATATACTGTCTCACTAGAGCATTTTCCTTGAGCAAGCATCCATTGAAAGATTGCATCAATTACACGATTTATTGAAAACTACTTATGCTTTAAGTTTCACTCGAAAATTGAGACGAACTACTGACAATAGTTCAAGTTAGCTAAAATACACTACTAGTAATAATCCAACAATCATGAAAAGGAGTGCCATTCGTTGAAATGGCGCTAACTTGAATAATCCTAAGTCAATCCATACCTCACAGCTACATTCCAAAGACTATCATTAAAATCGCAGTAATGGAAACACTACTAAGATCGATTCTTTCCAAGAACAATATCTCAGCAACACTATCACATTACTTAAAAAGAGCGCTATATGAGCAGTTACTTTTCATTGTACATCAGCTAAAACAGCACATGCAACTCTAACAACCTTTAAAAAAAACAAACGTAGGAGTCAAAGTCTTCCGTGAGCGTGAAATCATCAGCACATCTTTCCATATATGATAAATTTTCCTATTTTTTATAACAAAGATTGACGAGTATTAGAGCCTATTATTCCGGATTTTTTCAGTCGATACTGGACTTCCCCATTCTTGCGAGAGCTCTCACAACCTCATCCTCGATCCGACAACAATTTTGAGACAGCCAATATGCACTACAAACAATGTATACACTTACGGCATTTTATCGTCTTTGTTTGCTCAAAAAGAGACATCCCTGTGTGGTTGCACTAAATCAAAGATTTCTCAAACAAACCTATACCTACCGATCATAAGTCGCATTACGATACCACGTTGTGGAGCCTTCCATCATTTTAACCTTTCTATTCTCACACATAGACACTAACAACACTAGATCTCCATGACAATCAAATTAGTGATGAAGAAGCACAACACCTCGGCAAAGCTCTCGAACAAAACAAAGTAATATTCTTAGCTTCTCTACCTATCATTCACCATTTGTTCAAAACAGACACTAACCACATTAGACCTTTCTTACAGTCGAATCGGTGATGAAGGAGCACAACATCTTGGCAAAGCTCTCGAACAAAATGAAGTAATATCCTTACCTTCTCTATGTAACATTAACTGCCTGTTTAAACCAGACACTAACTACACTGGATCTTCGTGACAATCAAATCAGTGTTCAAGGAACACAACATCTTGGAAAAGCTCTCAAACAAAACAAGGTAATATTCTTAGCTTCTCTATCTATCATTGTCTGTCTGTTCGAAACAGACACTAATTACATTGAACCTCTCGAATAATCAAATCGGTGATAAAGGAGCAAAACATCTTCGCAAAGCTCTCAAACAAAACAAAGTAATATTCTTACCTTCTTTGTGTAACATCAACTGCCTATTCAAATTAGACACTAACCACACTGGATCTTTGTGACAATCAAATAAGTGCTCCAGGAGCACAACAGCTTGGCAAAGCTCTCAAACAAAACAAAGTAATATTCTTAGCTTCTCTATCCATCATTGTCTGTCTATTCGAAACAGACACTAATTACATTGAACCTCTCGAACAATCAAATCGGTGATAAAGGAGCACAACATCTTGGCAAAGGTCTCAAACAAAACAAAGTAATATTTACATTTTCTCTATCTATCATTCACTACCTGTTTAAAACAGACACTAATCACACTGAACCTCTCTTACAATCAGATCGGTCATCAAAGAGCACAACATCTTGCCAGAGCTCTCGAACAAAACAAAGTAATATTTGCATTTTCTCTATCTATCATTCACTGCCTATTCAAAACAGACACTAACCACACTGTATCTTTATCACAGTGAAATCAGTGATGAAGAAACGCAACATCTTGCCAAAGCTCTCAAACAAAACAAAGTAATAGCCTTATCTTCTTTATGTATCATTCCCTGCCTGTTCAAAATAGACACTAACCACACTTGATCTGAGTGCGAATCAAATCGGTGACAAAGGAGCACAACATCTTGGCAAAGCTCTTGAACAAAACAAAGTAATATTCCTATCTTCTTTATTTATCATTTCCTGCCTATTCAAAATAGACATTGGCAACACTGAACCTCAATTGGAATCAAATCGGTCATGAAGGAGCACAACATCTTAGTAGAGCTCTCGAACAAAACGAAGTAATATCCTGACCTTCTCTATCTATCATTCCCTGCTTGTTCAAAACAGACACTGGCCACACTGGACCTCACTAAAAATCAAATCGGTGATCAAGGAGCACAACATCTTGGTAGAGCTCTCGAACAAAACAGAGTAATATCATGATCTTCTCTATCTATCATTCCCTGCTCGTTTAAAACAGACATTAACCACACTGAATCTCTCTTGCAATCAGATTGGTCATCAAGGAGGACAACATCTTGGTAGAGCTCTCGAACAAAACAAAGTAATATCGCTCTCTTCTTTATCTATCATTTCCTGGCTGTTCAAAATAGACATTAACAGCACTGAACTTCACTTGGAATCAAATCGGTGATGAAGGAGCACAACATCTTGCCAAAGCTCTTGAACGAAACAAAGTAATATACTTACCTTTTCTACGTAGCATTTCCTATCTGTATAAAACAGACACTAACCAGACTGAGCCTCTATTGCAATCGAATCGGTAATGAAGGAGCACAACAACTTGGCAAAGCTCTCGAACAAAACAAAGTAATATCTTCACCTTCTCTATCTATCATTCTTCGATTGTTCAAAATAGACACTAACCACACTGAGCCTCTATTACAATCAAATCAATGATGAAGGTGCACAATATCTTGCCAAAGCTCTTGAACAAAACCAAGTAATATCCTCATCTTCTCTATCTAACACTTTCTGCCTGTTCAAAGCAGACACTAACCACACTAAATCTTCGTTACAATCAAATTGGTGATGAAGGAGCACAACATCTTGCCAGAGCTCTCGAACAAAACAAAGTAATATTCTCACCTTCTCTATCCATCATTCTCTGTCTCCTCAAAACAGACGCTAATAAGACTGGTCCTCCGTTGCAATCAAATTGGTAATGAAGGAGCACAACATCTTGCCAAAGCTCTTGAACAAAACAAAGTAATATCCACACCTTCTCTATCTATCATTCCTTGCCTGTTCAAAACAGACACTAATAACATTGGACCTCAGTTGGAATCGAATCGATGATGAAGAAACACAACATCTTGTCAAAGTTCTCAAACAAAACAAAGTAATATTCTCACCTTCTCTATCTATCATTCACTGCCTGTTCAAAACAGATATTCACAAGACTAGTCCTCCGCCAGAATCAAATCGATGATGAAGAAGCAGAAGTTCTTGGCAATATTCGAAAACAAAATCGGATGATGTTTTAATTCTTTTTTGATAACATCGACGACTTCAAAACTGATATTTCTAATACTGGATATGAGAATGTGGGTGTGGCTCCTCTGCGCTCACATCCATGCTTGTTTTGGAACGATACTATGTAGGAGTTTCAATTATGGTGTTTGTTCAACCACGTTGTCTTTTGATTTTTTGTTTTCTTCTGATTTGATTCAAAACCGAAAAAACATTGTTTGCTTCTCATTCTCGATCAACATTGTATTAATAATGTGGGCAGTTAGTATTCTTACAAACCAGCGTCTTTTGATTGAGCTTAATTTCAAAGGATGGAACAACGTTTCTATTGCATTTTGAGTCTCTGTCAATTTGATGTAATCAAGGGAAATGTTGCGAATATATTTATTGTGAGTATTGAATAACAGATCGATAAGTTTTGATTTCAGAAAATGAATGCTGCATATAAATGATTAGATGAGTAAATAAGATCATCATCGAAAGTGTGTATATCAGGTAATTGTGGTTTCAACGTGAGATGTCGCCGGCAAAATGTCCTCTTTCGTGTGATCTTACCAGCCGTCTTTTTTTTAATAATAGTCCGACAAAACAAAGATCTACACAGTTGAATTTTTTGAGAGTATGTATAGTAACTTAACCCTTTAGGGACGGTTGGCCCCCTAAGGGGCCATAATGACTCTCTAGCATTTCATAACACACAGATTCCTATATGAGATTGGTTTTCGTGAAAGCATTTATCAGAGAGTTCTTTGGCATAATTTGGATTGTAATTAGGTTATTTTATTCAGATATCCAGTAATGGATAATAAGTTCTTTTAGAATATAGAAATGTTGATTGATTTATGATGAAATATACAGAAAAAAAACCCGCCCCCAAAGGGTTAAAACACCTCTATGTTACATAAAACATAGTTAACAGAAGCTTCAGAGTCCAAAGATGTATGCATTTTTTTTTAATCATCTGTATGAATAATACATTGTCAAATTGAGCTCTATAGGAGTTAAGGTCATCTTTTGTACATTTCTTATTGTAAAAATACGAGAAATTACTCTTATCAGAGTACGCCATCTGTTGACGAAGATTCATGACAGAATTTTCGATTGGATTCGACCTAAATCTTGTCAATCTATTTATTTTTACAATTTATCATTTTAAACAAAAATTGTCTTGAAAATCCGAATGGCTTCGATTTTAAGTCGATCATTTCTCATGATGTCTCTTCGTAAATCTTCTTCATTTAAACGTTGTCCATTAGTTTATATTCGTTCTATTTCATCTGATCATCATCAACATTATCGTCCATTAATGCTTATGGACCTTCCACGTATTGCTTATCCAAATATATTTCTCATCATAAAAAATTTCTTTTCTCGAATTATTATTAATGGACATTTTGATTCAACATTTGCTATAAAACCATTTTGTGATGGTGCTCGACAAGCATTAACTGTTGTTTCAAATTTAATTGGTAATGGTCAATTTGATGATCTTCCTGGATTTGTTACACGAGAGGTAGAAAAATTGAAAACAAAAATAAAAAAATAGAAAAACATTTTATTAATCATTAAAACAAAAAGAAAACAGAAATCTAATCTAGGTTATTAATGAAGTCAAACAAAATTATGAACATTTATCATCTCAACAAAAACAACAAATTCCTGTTGAAGAAGGAGAAATTATTTTTTCTTATCCATATCTAATTGGTCTTATAATGGATGAACAAACAAGTAAAAAAAAACAAAAATTAAATTCTTTTTCTTTTTTTAATAAAATTCAATAAATTTCTAGATACACGTATGGTTGAAATCATAATGATTTTTCATATTCTGAAAAATCCTGAATCATATCGAGATGAAATGCTTGAAGGTTCTGGTAGTACTTTTTCAAATTGGATATCAACAATTAAAACAATGCGTGATAATATTATTGTTTGTAATTATAAATTTTCACGTAATATGAGTGAAAATGCTCAAGATAATAGTTGGATTATTACTGGACTTAATCATTGGTTACCAAATGAATATTTTCAACAAAATTAAACTTTGTTTTGTTTTCAACAATACACAACAAAAATTAGAAAAATAAATATTTACATTGTTTATCTGAAATAGAAAATGTTTTTTCTTGATGTTACTTTCATTATGTACATGCACTTTGTGGAACGAATTAAATGTTCATCGTTGGAAAACATTGCATTTATTTTTTTATTTGATTAAACATCCGTTTGTGTTTATTTGTCTATATATTGAATGAATAGATTTATTATCATGTGAAAATGCATTTTATATAAGTACAATAATTTCTATTGATTTTATTTAATAAGATTTTCAATGACTTAATTTTTTGATAGATAATGAACTCATAATTTATAATCTAAGGAACAATCCTATTTAACAAATAATAATGTCTTAACAAAAAATAACTATATACAGTACTGGACTAAAATATAAGAACAACATATTTCTTTATTTTTTTCTATAATAACAAGCATCTAACTCAAATCCAAATAGTGATTCAAATAGCCATTAAAGAGCTCTATCAAATGCATCCTTTACGAAAACTTCATGGATGATTTAAGAGAGCAAAGTTTCTAGAAAACCAAAACACATCTTTTTCAAGTTTCAGAAGACTTCACAATAATTCATTTCTAACAGTACCATCTTAAAGAGTACAAAATTGTGAACAAAATGAAGGATCGCCGCGTTTTCTACGATCTTTCCTTCAAAAGTTATAAGCATCACAAAAATCAAAAGAAAAGTGAAATTTATCAAGAAATCACTAAAAATCGGTTTTTTTCGACTTTTGTGATGCTTATAACTTGTGAAGGAAAGATCGTAGAAAACGCAGCGACCCTTCATTTTGTTCACAATTTTGTGCTCTTTAAGATGGTACTGTTAGAAACGAATTATTATGAGGTCTTCTGAAACTTGAAAAATATGGACTTTGGTTTTCTAGAAACCTTGCTTCCTTAAATCATTTATAAAATTTTGGTATAGAATTAATTTGATAGAGCTCTTTATTGACTATCTGAATCACTATTTGGATTTGAGTTAGATACTTGTTATTATAGAAAAAAAAATAAAGAAATATGTTGTTCTTATATTTTTGTTCAGTACTGTATTATCTCTTTATAATCAATTTTGTTTATCAATTTAATATATTATTAAACAAAAAAACAAAAGAAAGGAATCTTTAACATTTGAGTTTTTGATTTATTTTATATTTAATTATAATATGATTGTCGTCGATAATCTCGTTTTAAAATACGATTAAATGTTCGTCGAAAATGTTTATTTGATAAAGCATATAAAAATGGATTTATTGTTGAATTAACATAACCAAACCATATTGTTGCTGTAACAATACGTTCTGATACACATGAACCACAATAAGCAACAACCATATAGATAATAAAATATGGTAGAAAACAACATGTGAAACCAAATACAATAGCAAATAATTGTCGAAATGCTTTTTCTTGTTGATTCCATATAGTTGATTGTTTAATTTTATTTGATGTTTGACGATGAATTTTAGAATTTGAATGAAATAATATATTTGATGATATACTATTTCTTTGTAAATTATAAGACGACATTGCATTCTGTTTTCGACTTGCTGATGATGATAATGATGAAGATGATAATTTTGTTGTAGTATGAAAAGGTTCTACATTTGAATGAATAGTTATAGCAGATGTAGCTGTTGAACAACAATGACATAAATTAAATATATTCATTGTTGTTGATGCTCTTATTGTATCTGATAATGAACAACGTCGACATTCACATGTTGTTCGATTTGTTATATTACGAGATGATGGACGACATTGTATTGAATGATAATTACACGAATCATTATGATGTTTATGTATAATACCAAATTGTTCATTAGAATAAAGTCGACATGGATGATAATCATGTCTATGTTTAAAACAACGTTCATCAACATTAAGACGATGTTTTGAAACTGTATGATATGGACGTAATTTTAATGTTGATGTTGGTTTTAATAATGAACTGGAATGTTCAAGATGATTAGTACACCATGTATATTGATCCTAGATAAAAAGAAGAGAATTTTTTTTTCTATGGCTTTTAATTGTCTGTTTTTTTTTTTTGTTTACCTGTGTATAAGGTTTTGTTTCAACAAATGAATATGCACGTTTTAAAGATGATCGTCGAATAATAGGAATTTGATTTGATATAATAGATCGATTTTTTTTCTCTTTAAAATTAATACGTAATGTTGAATTATTATCATTTTTAATTATTGAACGTTTTGATGTAATTAAACAATCATTTTCATTTAAATTTATTGGTGTTGAACATAATTGTTTATCACTATCACATATTGTCATTGTTATTGGTGAACGAGTATATTTTGTTAATGAATTAAATTTATGATTACTTGATGATTCATTTAATTGATTTGAATGTCTTTGTAAAAGAACACTTTTATAACGTCGTTTAATTTCATAATAAATACGAGCATTTAATGATATTAATACAAGAAGTGGTAAATAAAAATTAATTATAGCTGTTGATACTTTAAATATTTTTGAATGTGTATATTCTGGTTCACATTTAGTTGGCTAAATTTAAGATGAGAATTTTTTTGTTTTTTTGAAATAAATTTTATATATAATTTAATACTTACAGGAATACCACTTGTACCATTATTAAAAAAATGCTGCCAACCAAATATAGGTATAACCCATAGAAGTGATAAACCCCAAGCAAAACCAATTAATAATAAAGCTCGAGGTCGTGTTCGTTTACCAAGATATTGAAGTGGAGATGTTATTGACCAATAACGATCTAAACTTAATGTGAGTAAATTAAATATTGATGCTGTTGATGCAGTAAAATCGACTGAAAGCCAAATCTGACATAGAACAAGACCTAAATGAAGAGAAAAAAAACATTATAATAAAAATTATTATTATTATTATTTATAATTTATGTAGAATATTTGACCTTACTCGAATTGGTATGTTTTAGATATTTGATTAATTTTTTTTTCATTGAAAATTAAAACATACTTCTTTCGAGCTGATTTTTGTCTAACGAACAATATATATATGTTGTATACAATAGTTTATTTGATCTTATTTCTTATTATGATTCTGTACTGCGTTTATTCCTTAAGTTCAAAGAACGAATTTAAACTAAAATATATATAATTTGTTCGAAAACAAAAATATGTTTTGTTTAGGATTTGTTGATTTTAACAATATGCATAACATTTGTTTTACTTTGTAGACGTCATGACATTGATAGGTACACTTTGGCATACAATCCTACAATAAGCTTTTATCCAGAATTTCGTACCTTGTGAATTCTATCTATTATAATTACAAATTGTCTGTTTTATTTAATTAGAGACGTAACGTGTAAAATATAGGAATGGTTTCAAATTGTATTAAGCAAAAAAAAAAAGAGAAGAAGAAAAGAAGATAACATACCCATATTCCACTTTTCCATAATAGCATATATTCCAGCAATAGGCATGACAAAGCAGCCAACAATTAGATCAGCAGTAGCAAGACTCAAGATGAATAGATTACCCACCTAAATAAAGTTATAAATAGATATGAAATATTCACCATTTATAACAAATATATGTTTATGTAAAAGAATTCTTAAAATTTTTCTCTTATGCTTTAAAAAAAAAATCTTCTACAATAGATTCAAATAATAATGAATATATATATATAGAAAACAATAGTGTTTCCGTTGGTGGTATTTCAGCTGATTTATTTTATTATTAGTATTCTTATCTATAACATAATTCAGAAACTAATATATAACTATGTAGTCTATTGATTATCATTATCAACATTTTATAACTTATAGATTATTATTAATATCCTATTTCAATTACTGAAATCTATTTTGATTATTTCTTTTTCATAGAAATATTCTAATGCGATTAGAATATGTATTTATTATTATTTTTTTTAATAACAATAGTCATAAAAAGAAAAATAATAACAAATTAAATTAATCATTCAAATATTTCATATTTATATACTTATGATATTGAATATTCTAATACTCACTGTTCGTATACGACGAAATGTAACAAGTACAAGAAGATTACCAGTTATTGTTAATAAACAAAGACACATAAAAATAAATCCCCAACCAATTTTGTATGTTAATGTTATAAATTCAACATCAGATGTCATTATATTAGTTATATTAATAATTGAATTTGAATCTTTTATATCAGCCAGATAAATCTCTGACATATTCTCTATACTAAGTGAAAACATTAGTACCAACAGAAGAATATGTACTGTATTGTTGTCTTTCGTTATCAATAAGAAATTGGTCAATATCACTCATAAGTAAACAAAAAAAAACCAATTGAATAATAAAGAATAAAATGATTTTAACTAATTAATTACATTATGTTCATTGAATAAAATTCACACACTATTCTATGACTGTCGATAGAATCGTATCCAGAGAGAAATGACATGAGAATAGGAAAAAAAAAAGATTTGTCGTGCTTGCTGAATGAGAAAGTGGTGAATGTCACACTAAAACCAATAGAAAAAAAGAAGTGTCTAGACTATGAATTAAACAAATGAGGTTAATATCTATTAAAATAATTTTATATTTTGCATTTTGGTTAAGAGTTTCCAATGCAATTAATGACATACAAGTTTTTTAAATATTTCATCTGTCGAAAACACATATAGAACAAACTTAAATGTATAGATTGTGACAAAGTTTGTTATTTTCAATATGGTTTTCATCTTAACAAAAAAGAAAAGATGGAAACAGAACAAATATTCATAAATGTTTTTGTTTACTTTCTTTTTTTAGACTTAATAATTTTTGTCTTTCTTTTTTTTTATGTATGTATGTAATTATTCATTAGTGGCAAACAACCTACGCAGATGTGTAAAGAGTTACATTATTTGTATTGTAGAATTGTCGATTTCCCGTTTGTCTTCTCGTTTTCATTCATTTGATTTTTTTTTGTTCTTTTCTTAATACTTATTTGATTAAATTGATTCTATAAA